CATTAACAATTATATATATATATATAACAGTAAACTTAGCAATCAATAATGTCACCATTAACTAATCAATAATAGTAATAATATAAATAAGCTAATAGTGATGTAAATAAATAAAAATATATAAAAACAAATAAAAAAATAAAAAAAAAAACTTGATATTAACTTACAGTAAAACAACACTAATAATAAAGAAAAAATAATCTTACTGCTTGTTTATAACCAAAAAAAAAAAAGCTAATAGACTATCTTTAAAAATAGTATATATATATATAGTCTGAACAATAAATAATAACGCTTCAATTGATTACAGAAGATAAGTGAGGGAATCTCATAATAGCCTTTTTGTCTTTTCCCCTTGGAGTATGCAGATGAATTCTCAGAGATGGAATATAGGGAAATCAACTTTTAAAATGTTGAGGGGAAAAGCTCACGTGAAGGACAAAGGAAGAAAAAAAATTTTTTTTTTTTTGAACATTTAGGTCATTTAAGCCAAACTCACACACACCGCATATACATAGACTCAAATCCTGGGCCTCTTAATTGGAAGCCTAAGCTCTCAACCAATAGGCCAAGAAGAATTGTGTGTGAAGAAAAATGTAACAGACTTGAGTGAAAGTTGCTGTAATAAAGTAAAAAAAAAAAAGGCAAATAAAGGTAGAATCACGTGCCAAAAAAAAGTAAAAAAAAAAATATAATAAAATAAAAATAAAGGTAATACGAAATCCTGCTGACCACATTTGGAATTGACGTCAAACCTTGGATTTAGCTATAGCAAGAAGCAAAGCCGGCTGCTGCAAGTGGAGAATCGCACGGATCGTGAAGGTCAGGTGAAGAACAGATAGGAAGATTCGTTCCTCGATCGACTGGGTTGGAGCTCGTGGGGTTCAAGAGGAGAGGTGACGGAGCAGGAGCTTCTTCACGGAGAGATGTGGATTATTCACATATTCACCCATATTGCAGACCTTGCACCCACGTAAGAATATATATATATTTGGTATGCTTAGACATTTTGGTGGATAGAGGTTGAGAGCACGTTCTTGGCGAAATGAAATCTCTATTTCTTGACTCATAATTTGGCCCTGTAAGCCTCCTCGGCATCCTTCTTCCAATATCCTCCACATCCTGTTCTTGAATACAAAGTGGCAGAAATGGAATCTGATGTAATCCACATTCGTACCATATCTTTTCTATCGAATAAATGATCTCGTGGGAATATAAAACAAAATGTAAAACAATTTTGTAGATGTCTTGGGAGGAACATATAGATCAATCTTAAGATGGGAAAGATGTCATCCTGACCCCATTTTGGACTTACAAAATCACTATTTAAAACTTTTGTCCAATGTCTTCCATCCAACCTAGAATTCAAAAACACCACTGATGACCTTTGCAGCCAATGGAGATCTAGAAAGCTTTTTAACTATCTCTCCAGTAATGGATCTTAATCTTTTATAATCATTAAGATTCTCCTCATCAATAAATACATGAGAGTTAAGGAGCTACAAACACTGAACTTTCTCCAAGCCCTCTAATCTAAATACTTCCGACTTCTCTTTAATGACAGTTGCAATCATCATTGCAGCTGAGCCCATTCGAGTTGTTACCAAAATTCTACTACCAAAACTCCCATAAGCCAAAGGGACGAGCACCTTCTCCCATTTACTTTTATCCTGCTTCTCATCATCCTCCCAAATGTCATCCATCACAAGTAAGAACTTTTTGGACATGATCTCAATCCGAAGACTATCTTGAAATGCCTCAAGTGTCTCCAAACGAGGCCTCTCCTTCTTAAGAGATTCCAACATATCTGCAATGAATTTTTTCACATCATAGTTGTTGGAAACACAAACCCAAATTTTAAGATCAAATTCCTCTGCCATTTCATCTTCATAAATATGTTGCAAAAGAGTTGTCTTTCCCATACCGCCGTCCTCCACAACAGATAGAAGAGAAATGTTTTATGTACAAATTCGTTCCATTAGAAAGAATTTGATGTTCCTTATTTGTTTGTTTTCTCAACCACTACGTAGCAAATAAAAATCAAAATGAAATTCACATTCGAGCTGAATCATCCTTATCAAATTTATGATTTTTTTTTTGTAGTTGTAGGGGTCAACTGGCTTCAACTTTGAGTTCTCTAAGAAGACATGGTATATTATTGGCACCTCTGTTTGTAATGCTGTGAGAAGTTTTTTCAATAAGTGTTACCTCCCCAAACGTGTGAAAGCAACTACCATCTCCCTAATTCCTAAAAAGCCTCATGTGGACAATATCCATGATTTTAGACCCATTGCTCTATGCAATGTCTTTTATAAAATTTTTGCCAAGATTATTGCTAATCGTATGAAGCCTATCATGCCTAGCATTATTCACCAAAGTCAATCCGCTTTCATTGCCAAAAGATTATTCACTGATAATACCATTTTGGCCGGGGAAATTTTGAGTTTTATTAAGAAGAAGTGCATAAATAAGTTCTTTTATGATAAGATTGACATCAGAAAAGCATTTGATACTTTATCAAGGTAGTTTATTTTTGATCAAATGGATAAAAAAGGATTCCCACCTCATTTTATTAGTTGGATCAAAGCTTGCATCAATGATGTGAACTTTTCCATTAACATTGATGGGGCTCTGGATGGCTATTTCTCTTCTTCATCTGGCATATGACAAGATTATCCCATAATCCCTTACTTGTTTTGTATCATAATGGATGCCTTTTCGTGCCTTATAGATTCCAATCCAAATTCAGAATCCTTTGAGGGTTTTAGCTACAAGAATTTTTGGCTATCTCATCTCTCTTATGCAAAAGATTTATTGATTTTTTGCAAAGATGAAGTTTACAATAATAACCGGCTTTTTGTCTTACTTAACACCTTTTCTATTAGCTCTGGCTTCATCTTAATTTAAATAAGAACACTGTCCTCTCTCATCCCAGCTCTCCTCTCTCAGCTGGTATTTCCCTCTCTCTTAACATTCCTAACATATCCACTATCATTAACTATCTTGGTCTGCCCATCTTTTTGGGTAGAATTAAAAACTCAAACTTCAACCCTCTGTTCAATAAAATCACTAACCTTCTTTCCGGTTGGAAAGTCAATTTACTCTTTTTTGCAGGTGGAATGTAATTCATCAAGTACACTACAACAAATTCTATTGCTTATTGGATTCAGGGGAGTTACATTCCTAAAACTATTATCAATAACATTGGAAAACTTTGTGCCAAATTTCTTTTTTATGGTGGTTCCAATCAAAGACATTTGCATCTTACCTCTTGGGCTAAAACATGTAAGTCAGTTTCTAAAGGAGGCTTTGGTTATGCTTCCTTTCATGCTCTTATATTTGCTTACAACTATGGGGTTATTTATAGATGGTACAACATTCCTTCACCCCTTACCAACTAGTTGAATATTAGATATATTTCCCCTCGAAAGTCCACACAGACTAATGCCACCTCTTATTAGAAAAGCATCTCTTGCACGACTAGGTTGGCTAAGCAAAATTTCTCTTTCATTATAAACCCAAATAGTAATAATGCTATCATTTGGCATCATTGGTGTGGGGGAGAAACCCTTTCCTCCATCCTCCCAGACTTCAATTTTGGTTCTATCTGTCATCCCAATGCTAGGCTTTGTGAGTAGATTAACATCAATAGCTGGAACTTGCCTGTCGTGTCTGATGTCGGAGCTGAGCTGTTAAAACCTGTTAAACTTTAGGCTATATTAATTCTAGTCGTTTATGTAACAGCAGTTTTGCTCATATCGTTCGGGCCGATCTGGGATCGTCCCGGGACGATCAGTTCAAATTTTATTCCAGATTCTATACAGAAGTTACAGGAAAGTTTTCCTGTAGGTATCGTCCGGGCCGATCTGGGATCGTCCCGGGACGATCAGAGCATGGCACAAGTCAGAGAGCAAATCGTCCAAGAAATTAATTATCGTCCTGAGAAATCGTCTCAGGCCGATTGGATTTTGTTCAGATCGTCCAGGACGATCGTGCGATCAGCCGGGCCGATCAGAGCATTATTTAGCTGAAATCAGCTCATTTTGAAGAGAGAGAAAAATCAAAAATATCTAAAAACATTTTGAGGAGAGAGAAAGTTGTGGGAAAAAGTGCAAAAGTTAATTTTTGGGCGACGCCGGGCTGTTTTCGTCCGTCGAGACAGTTCAGGAAATTGGTGTACGCAAGATAAGGCACATTCAGCCTTTCTCAATTTTCAGAACGGTGAAGTTTGAATGATTTTTCTGTCCGGATTTCATTTTCGTTAGCGAATTTCGTCCGTATTTTCCGACTGGTTCAGTTTTTACCACGTAACTTTTGATATGTTTCTGAGGTGCCGAGTGTGCACATTTTGATTATTTTCTGGAGATTTTTGACATGATAGTTTTGATTTGGCGGCGTTTTCTGTTGGCTGTAAATTTTCACAATGTATGTAAATGTTGTGGCAGTAGAATAAAAGTCTTATAATGTTGTTGTGAATGTTCTGTGGTAATTTGGTAGAATTATGATTTGGTGAATTTTGTCTAAATTCCGTATACTGCCGTTATGCTGCCGGATTTTCGTACGATTTCTGAAATTGTCCGGATTTGTTCTGAAATGACATGCTATGCTTGTGTGAAGGGAGTTATAAGGGGTCAAGATCCTGTGAGATCCTGTCTGTGTCAGGGAAAATCTGAAATGAGCTCTGAAATCTGAAAACAAGTTCTGTTCTGGATCCGATGATAAGTTATGTTCTGGTGCTATAAGCACATCTGTTCTGGTGCCATTAGCACGAAGGGAGGCATAAGGGGCCAGAATCCGAGAGATTCTGTCAGTATCTGGGAAGGGAGGCATAAGGGGCCAGAATCCGTTGAGATTCTGTCAGGGTCAGGGAATCTGTTCTGACTTTTGATATGTTCTGAATTGATATGATTTTTGATTTCCGTACGACATAATTTGATCTGATATGTATAATTATAATTCTGATACGATTCTGACACGATTCTGTTCTATTCTGATATGATTTGATTCTGATTTCCGTACGATTCTATCTTTTCTGATTGGATATATGATTCAGTTCTGATTTGATATTTAATTGTTCTGTTTGTTCTGTTCTGATTGATTCGTTCTGTTCTGCTCTGTCAGTTCTGTATTCTGATTTTTGTACGGATTTCTGTCAATCTGATGTGTTTGTTGTGGATTCTGAGGATTTTGATTGGAGGTTTGATGTCTTGTTGATCTGTTGTAGCTCATCCTTATTTTCTGCGTGGTTTTCAGGTTCTTGGAAAGGGAAGGAAGTCTTGGAGTAGAAGTTCAGAGTCTGATCCGTTATAGGTATTTTGTACTTTTGATTTTTGTACAGTCATGACTTTTCTGTTCTGCTTTTCTTTCTGTCTGAAAGCCATGAGCTGTATTTGTATATGATTCTTTTGAGGAAGAAAAGATAGATGATCTGTTCCGCTGTATTTGATGTTTATAGCAAGCTCTGTGCGTCTTTTTCGGTCTTTATGTTTGGAAGAAAGTTCTGAAACAAATTCCAAAGCCAGATCCTGGAATCAGTTCAGTCAGTTTGAATTCGGCTCACGACCCGATGCGAGCGGGATCCGTCCCGGTCGGGTTGGGTCGTGACAGTTTATATGGCTAAATAGGAATGTTACTTTCTTTTATTGAATGTAGCTTTTATATTTCTATATTTATCTATATATACTTGTAGACCATGCTTGTAAGGAGGAGATTTAGAGATTAATAAAATTAGAGTTTATTCTCTTGTGTTTTTCTATATCCTAAGATTATTCTTAGGTGGAGGTTCTTGCTCCAAGGAGTTCTTGGAGTGGTGTCCGGCGACCGCCATCGGATCATCGATGTGGATTTGTCAAGCCCCCTTCGGTCCGGTGTCATTTGGTATCAGAGCCCCTTGACGTCATCGACAACAGTTCCTTGACATTTGGCCGGCTTCGACACCCTCTCTTTCATTTCGCAAAAATAGAAACTAATTTCTCTATTTTTCCTGGCGGAGAAGCTTTGAAGAGGTCCGAACATCAAGATCTTCTTCCTGAAGGCTTTTTTCCACTTCCTGGAATAGAGAGAGTTATTTCGTACAATATTTGTTCCCTAAGATTCCGTCTGCAAGCCATTAGCCATTCCATTCAAGGCGGACTTCGAGACAAAAGCTTCATCTAGCCTTTGCACGTGAACCTTGCCAGAGAACGTGGGATTGATATCTGTTCTTTGGAGATGTGCCATTTCATGGGCAACGTCAACACCTACACGTGAAGGCAAGAATGCAGAAGTTGTCCGCGAGCTGAAGCAGGCTGAGCTTGCCGCAGCATTAAGGGCCGCTCGGTTTGGGTGAGTCGGCGGAGCACCTGTGCCAAGACAAAGAAGGCTTTGGACGGGGCTTGGTCGACGTGGCTCCAGGACCATCTCCTCATATCCCTCGATTGTGCAGTCTTTGATTATGTAACCGAAGTAAGCGAACTTGTTGTCTTGAATAGATTCTTGAAGATTAGAAACAAGATGCCTCCTAGATGAACGTTGTAGCAAGAAGAAATTGAACACCTTTAACTAGAAATTATTCAACTCTAGCAACGATTATCAAGGCTCGAACGGAGGAAAGGCGTGAGTTCCCTTGCCCGGGACTTTGATGTCATCCAACCATGAGATGATTAGATCTCTTCTATCTACGAAGTTGTATTTGACAGACCACCTTGTCAGTTTTCCACCACACCTTCGATCGAGTTCGGTTTTGAAGAATTGGAAGATTCATTGTTGAAATCGTCGTTTTTGCCTATCTTTGATGAACCTGTGTATGACGTGTACGATTACGACATATTCTTTAAAGTTCTTGATGTTGATACGCCTGTGAATCATGATTATAAGAGCAAACCAATTCAATAGGTCATTGCTTAAAATAATAATGGTGGAGACGAATGCACTGGAAATGTTAATGCCATGGAGTTCCTATTAAAGTCTCTTGGATTCAAAGATTGCAAGGACGTGTTGCATGTTTATATTAGTGACGATATAACAGATAAAGATGCTTTCTCAATCACAAGTATTCCATCTGCTTATGCTACTCTTGAGAGATTGAAGATTGGTAGGCAAGTCGATACCGGATGGACCTATCCAGACCGGTTTAGTCAACCAAACCCACCCCTTATGGTGGCCAATCGGACATCTTTCCATAAGCCTGAAGTTAGTCCTACCCCGGTAGTATGATGTTGGAGCTGAGCTATTAAAACCTGTTAAACTTCAGGCTATATTAATTCTAGTAGTTTATATGGCTAAATAGGAATGTTGCTTTCTTTTATTGAATGTAGCCTTTTATGTTTCTATATTTGTCTATATATACTTGTAGATCATGCTTGTAAGGAGGAGATTTGGAGATTAATAAAATTAGAGTTTATTCTCTGATATTTTATTGTATCCTTAGATTGTCTTAGGTGGTGGTTCTTTCTCCAAGGAGTTCTTGGAGTGGTGTCTGGCGACCGCCACCGGATCGTCGACCTGGATTCCTCGAGCCCCCTCCTGTCCGGTGTCATTTGGTATCAGAGTTAGGGGTGTAAACGAGTCGAGTGGAGTCGAGTTTTGACACTATCGAGCTCAGCTCGTCAGTCGGAAAGCAAGCTCGAACTCGAGCTCATTCCACTTTTAACGAGTTCGAACCGGCTCGCGAGCTTCGGCTGTCCGTGCAGCCTTCGAGCAAGTCTTCCTCCTCGTCCATCTACTTCATTCATGTGGAGCTCGCCATCGGAGAAGAAATCTGCCTCATTCACGTGGAGCTCGCCATCAGAGAAGATGGCTGAGTGTAGAAAATAAAATATTTTTTTTCTTATGGGGAGAAGAGATGTCAGAGGAGCTGTCAACAGTTTTAATTAATGAGGATTCAACTTTTTGCCTTTCCCACAAAAACAAAGCAGCTGTCACCCTTGGTTAGATTAAATAAAAATAATATTATATATATTTTTATGATACAAAATATCAAAATAGTATCATTTTTTATTGGTTTTGAAATTACCACTTTCGGTTTTCGGAATTCCCGCCTGTCCCGCCTTTGCATTTAGAATTGCCGCCTCTTATCATTTCGTTTTTTTTTTAATTCAAATAATAAATCGAGCCGAGCTTTCATCGAGCTCGTTTAACAAACGAGGTTGAGTTTAAGCTCCAGCTCGTGGCTCGATAAGCTCAGCTCGCGAGCTCATTATCGAGTCGAGCTCGAGCTGGTCACGAGCCGGCTCGGCTCACTTACACCCCTAATCAGAGCCAACCAGATCTTCTTGATTTATTTTATGTTTCTTGGACAAGACTCGGTGTTATCTTCTCATGAGCTTGAAGTTCCTCCTACCCTGGTAGTATGATGTCGGAGCTGAGCTGTTAAAACCTGTTAAACTTCAAGCTATATTAATTCTAGTAGTTTATATGGTTAAATAGGAATGTTGCTTTCTTTTATTGAATGTAGCATTTTATGTTTCTATATTTGTCTATATATACTTATAGACCATGCTTGTAAGGAGGAGATTTGGAGATTAATAAAATTAGAGTTTATTCTCTTGTGTTTTTCTGTATTCTAAAATTGTTCTTAGGTGGTGGTTCTTGCTCCAAGGAGTTCTTGGAGTGATGTCCGGCGACCGCCACCGGATTGTCGGCGTGGATTCGTCGAGCCCGCTCCGGTCCGGTGTCAGTGTCTTATTATGTTGTACGTGATTATATTTTAGATTTTCACATCCCTGTTCATACGGGTTCTAACATTCTTTGGAAGCATTTAGATAAGGTTACTTTTAAAGATTATTCCTTGGATTTCTTCACTCAAGATGAAGATTTTAGTCTTCATGTTTGGATTTGGCATCATAATCATTCCCCCCAATTCTCTGCTTACTTGTGGATGGCTGTCATAGGAGGTCTTAAAACTGTTGATGAATTGTTTAAAAGGAAAATCCACATTCAAGATACTTCTTGCACGTTTTGTCATGCGCATTTGGAAACTATGACTCACCTTCTGTTTGAATGTGACTTCTCTTTCTCGGTTTTAAAAGTATAATTCCTTCCTTCCTTGCCTTTTATTGGAGGCCTAATATTGCCCAAGCTCTTATTCATGTTGGGAACATGGCGGCAAACCGAAAAAAAAAAATAGAATTTTACTATGCCTTATTACCATTGTTTACCACTTGTGGATTGAAAGAAATAACATGAGGTTTAGTAAAGTGGCTAACTGTGCTGTCACTCTTGCAAAAAAAATTACTATGAGGTCTAGGGTTCGAGTCTATGTGTATGCGTTGTGTGTGTGAGTTTGCCTTAAATGGCCTAAATGTCCCAAAAAAAATTACTATAAGCATCTTTTTCAAACTCTCTGGATGGAAGGATGGTGATTTGGTGAAAACTTGGCTTAACATCAGATATGCTGCCTAATCTTTGTTTGGTTGGTGGATGATATTTTACCAATTTGGCTGTCAGTGGGTGCTTCTTGAGTACAAAAATTTTTTTTGGCAGACATTTTTTTGGGTCTGGACAATGATGAAGCTTGCACCTAGCTTCCTTTGGATGGTCAATGGGCAAAAAAGGGAGTGTCACTTCTGACTTTTGATATTTTGCTTTTCTGAGTCCATCTTTTCTGAGTCCATTTTTTTGTTTCCTTTTGCTCTTTTTTTTCATACCTTTGTTTTTTCTTCCATAGCTCTTTTTTAGGTTTTTTTTTTACTCACTTGTACTAAGGGTGTAAACGAGTCGAGTTTAGGCCTTATCGAGCTCGGCTCGTTAGTCGAAAAGCAAGCTCGAACTCGAGCTCGAGCTCGAGCCGAGCTCGACAGGCGAGTGACGGCGACGTTGTTATGCTTTCAGGAGAAAGCAATTCTTCTGATGGCACGGGCGAATGATGCGGAGCACGATAGTTATGGGTGCCGGGGGTGCAGCTTATTAGTATAGTATTATTATATTTTCATTTCTGCTATTCTAGAATAGTGCTAACACTTTATTTCTGTTTTTAGTTCAGCAGCCCTTGTGTTAGCTTTGCATATGGCTAACCAATTTTGGTTCTTCTCTGTTGAGAAGAATTACTTAGGAAGTGAAGAAGAGGGGATATGCAGTTTTTACTTTGGAATAGAAATTACCAGCTCACGGCAGCTTGCTAGAACTTTACTGTTCTATTGATTTAATCTGTTTTACTTGAAGTTTTTCTAGTGCAGGATCCTACATCATTATTAATCAGAGTTAACAACTGAAATCTGCTCAAAAAGTTAAAAAAAAAAATTCTCAAATTGCGTATTGCCCTTCTGATAATTCTTGAAAAAAAAAGACAAAGGATAAACTGTGCAGTCTTTTTTTCCCAAAAAAAAAAACAAACTGTGCAGTTTCATTTTAGAAGAAAATCCAAACGGCGGTAAAGCTGATGTGTCGACCATTCACCACACGTTCAAGATCAATAAATGTCTTGACATAAAATCTTTCGTCGCCATTTGCCGGCGAAATGTCGAACGCCGAGGAAGTAACGGTAGTCATAGTTCCCTTCCCAGCCCACGGCCACCTCAACCAACTCCTTCACTTCTCCCTACTCCTCTCCACTCGCTCCGGCATGACCGTCCACTTTGCCTCCACCGCCTCTCACAATCGCCAAGCCAAACTCCGCCTCCAAGGCTGGCCACTATCCTCCCTCTCCTCCATCCACTTCCACGACCTCCCACTTCCCTCCATCCCTTCCCCTCCACCCAATCCCCACTCCCCCTACTCCTTCCCCACCCACCTCCAACCCCTCTTCGACTCCACCGACCTCATCCGCTCCCCCCTCTCCTCTCTCTTACTCTCCCTCTCCGTCTCCTTCCGCCGCCTTGTCGTAATTCACGACCGCCTCATATCGTTAGATTGCTTTGAAGCCGCTGCGATCCCCAACGCTGAGTCCTACACCTTCTGTGGTCCTTCCGCAGCCTTCCTCTGCGAAGTAGAGCAACTGATGAAGCAGGGAAACGACTTGGAAGAGTTAGCGTCGCCGGAGTTCATAAGGTTTATTGAGCGGAGGAGAAGAGATGTGGTCACGAGCTCCGGCTTTATCATCAACACCTGCCGGGAGGTGGAGAGCGAGTTTATCGATATTCTTGCCCTGCAGGAGGATTTTTTCGGCAAGCCAATATTCGCCATTGGGCCGCTCAATCCTGTGCCGGTAATTATATGGCGAAATTTTCGAAATAAGCAACATTAATAATTAAACTATAAGATTAAGCATGATCATAAAAAAATTTAATTATTTTTCTAGCTCTTAACTATCTCTTTTTATTCATGTTTATCATAACTTTATATAAATCTGTTTATGCAGATGCATAACAACACATATATCAGTCGCGACGAGTGCTTGGAGTGGCTGGACGGGCACCCGCCTTGCTCCGTCGTATATGTATCCTTCGGCACCATGTCAACAATTTCCGACGAGCAAGCGAAGCAGCTGGCCTATGGGCTTCGTCGAAGCGGGCACCGCTTTCTTTGGGTCCTACGGGATGCCGACCGAGCTGACATCTTCTCCTTTGAGAGCACTAGTCGGCAGTTGCCGACCGGGTTCGAGAAGGCGGTGGAGGGGGTGGGAAAGGTCGTGAGGGGATGGGTGCCGCAGCTGGACGTGTTGGCCCATCAGGCCACGGGCGGGTTCATGTATTTTAGATATCACTAAATTTTTTTTTTTTTTTTTAAAACCCACCGACGGGCTTATGCGTTAATTAAGGGAAAAATTACAAAGGTCCTTAAAGGGATTTCTAGCTCGCTAACGCTCAAAGAGCTGCAATCAAAAATAAAAAGAAAAGCTAAGAGCCTGAATTCCCTACTAATCCAAAATACAATGAAAACTAATAACATTCTAAGATCCCACAAACCATGGGAAAAGAAAAACAAAATCAGCTTAATCTTACAATCAGCACACGTACCCTGCACAAAACGAGCGCGATGCTCCAAAAACCTATACAATAGGCAAACAAAGGTACTAGAGAAAAGATTAAGCCAACAGACAAAAAACAAATAAGCACAATGCAAATCAGAAAGAAGATACTCCCTGGAAGAACAAACACCCGGCCAAGGATCCGCTCATCCAAGATGCAACCAGCACAGAAGGGCCCTTAACCAGACCACCACGAACATCCCCCAGGGAAAAACAAAAGGCTCCAGCAATGACAAAATGGAACAAAAAGGCAACTGCTAAACCCAAGAGCAAAACAGACACCCTCAAGGAAGAAGCCACCATAATATCAGCGAAAACAGCAACAGAATAAAAAGGCCAACAACCACCAAACAGATAAGAAACACCCCAACCAAGACAGCCCAAAAACAAATACAAAAACCAGAAGAAAGAAGAAGGAAAACCTGCCTGAACTATAGACCCAAAACATACGGAACTTTCCTCTTATCCAAATTAATCAAGCCTTGGATATGCACCGCCAGATTTAAGAAAGAAAGATCGATAATGTCATTAAACCTGCTACCAAAAAGAGCCAAAGCACGGGCCACAGCGTTAATCTCAGAGTTAACCACATTAAAAGAACATTCCAAGGAATTCATTAAGAACAAAATCTTTCTGCGGGTGTAGAATAGGACATGCCCACATATGCTACCATCCACGCCCAGAAAAACAGAATAATCAATGTTAAAATTACTCTCCTCAACCACATTTTTAACATCCAGACTAACACAAAGAGAAAGGCCGTAAAGCACAGCCAGCAAAAACCCATTCAGATTATCAACCGCCCCAGAGGTCCCAGCAAAACCAACAATATACTTCCCATCATAGTTCATGATTAAGCCCCCAATACACCACTTGGTCCCAACCAAAACAGTATGACTATTCAACTTAAAACAATTAGAATTGGGGCAAGACCAGTTTAAAATCCTAAATATAACATCCAAAATAGAATTTAGATATCACTAAATTCTTATATATTTAGGAATCTAACATATGAATTGTATATTTATTTATATAACATTGTGTAGGTAGTATGTTGCACCTATGAAGGGTCTTTGATAGCGGCATATAAGAACTCGTGTTTGTTGCAGTCCTGTAACATTTCTTGTATGCATTGTGGGTCTTTATTCTTACTTGCAAGTAACATGTAGTGTGCATTGTATGCTCTTTGTTGTCCTTTGCATGATACTTGCATTCATCTTATGCTAGCTGTAATGTGCATATTTGCTTATAGTTTTATCATTTGCAAAGGAGTTAGTGTACCCATTTACGCACTAATGTTCCAGATGAATCACTACAGAAAAATCACTCATTTCCGGCGGAAATTGGGCATTTTCCGGGGGCATTTTCCGGCGGTTTTGTAATTTCGCGGCGGTTTTCCGGCGGTTCAAATGTCGCCGGTAAAAACCGCATAGGAAAATAAATTCCGGCGGCAAGTTTGTTCGTTATTATTGTCAATATTATTTATTTAAAAAATAAAACTAATTAATTTAAAATATAAAATAATATTTAATATAAAATAACAATTAACTAAGTAAATAATTTTAAAATGAAATTTAATTAAATAGTTAATATAAGTTTTAATTATTTTTTGTTAAATCATTTACATAGTAAAAATTTTATTCATTTTCAATAAATTTTTTAAAGCCGCCGGAAATTTTATCGGAAAATTCCGTGAGAAAAAACCGCCGGAAAGCCGTCGGAAACGTGACCACCGGAAAGCCGCCGGAAATCGGTGATTTTCCTGTAGTGAATTGCATTCATTGTATGTTCTTTCTATGCACTTTGGCTGAGAGATAGTTTTGTTCATTTGCAAACTATATGATGTTGAGTGTAAGGCATCATCATATTCATACCATGCCTTTCATGTTCAATGCACATTAATCTTCATCATTTGTAGGGAGGTGGTAGCCTTTATTTGCTAATTGATCGAATCCACTTGTAGGGATATATGTTGTAGCATGCTATTGATTGTTAATCATGTTATTTGCCATCAAACCACGCTTATGAGTTCTCTTTTTATCGTGAGCCTTGTGTCCAATAGTTTGCATGTAATTATAAGCTCATTGTTATGTTAATCACATATTCATCATATACACGATGCTATGTTCCATAAGATCCATGCAAGTTCATGCTCATTGTCATGTGGTTCGAATTCAATCAAGTTAGGTTTAAGATTCATATCTTTTGCATTTGCTCACTTAGGCCCCTTGCCATTTGATTGCAATTTTTGTTTTTAAATGGTATTCAGTTTGTGTTGTTTTTTACATCCAAATTTGTTTGATTTTGATGTCCTCTTTTAATACTCATTTGAGTTCAATTTATGATCATTTGTTCAAGTTCAAAACTTGTAAAGTTCCAACATGAGACCAATTTGAGCTCATGTTCACAACACTTAGTTCATTTGACTTAAGTCTTTTGTTGCTCCTTATCATTTGTTTAGGCTCAAATTTAATTTAATTTCAATTTGAATTCTTTGTTCAATTCAAGTTCAATCTTGACTAAATAATATCAAAATATATTCATCAAAAATATATTTATTTTATATAAGTTAATGTTAATAACTTTTTTATTTAATTTAGAAATTATGGTGTTAAATAATTAAATATATCAAAATTGTTAGAGATGGAAGTATATAACAATTTAATGGTATATATATAAATCCTTCTTTTTTTGTGATAGACACTCTTAAATATCCTTCAAAACTTTGTAGGCAATGGAAGCTATATGGTTATTCAATATAATCCACTATACTTATCTCACATACTATATGTAGATAAGTTGGTACTTTTCAAGCGACCCTTAGACCAACATCCTTTAATTTAAAAAACTAAGTTTAGGATTTCTATATTGTATCTAATATAGGAGTTAATCCTCATAATAACCTCGCTTATTATTGTCGTCAACACTTAATAAGCATTTGTAACAATTTACATATTTCTTCTTCTTCAATAGCCACTACAGGAAAAACGCCATTTTCCGGCAGACATTTTCGCCGGAAAATTGGCCAAAATCCGTCGGAAAGTAGCATTTCCGGCGGATTTCCGGCGGAAATATTTCCGCCGGTTTAACACGCGTCGTTAAAGATCTTCCGGCGTAAAATAATACGCCGGAAACATTTCCGGCGGATTTCCGACGGATTTTCCGCTGGAAAAAATTGACTGCGGATTTTTAAGCGAGCGATTCTCAACTGCTACCCCGCCGGTTGCAAAACCGCTGCGAAATATCGTTGCAGCGCATAGTAATTAAAGCGTACCCGTAGCGGTTTTATAACCGCTGCAAAGGAATTTGTGGCGGTTTTAACCGCCATTATAGCCCAGAATTTGTGCTGCGAATACCTTATTTTTTGGTAGTGGGATATCATTGTTGAGCAACCTTGCACCCATACAGGAGGAGAGAGAAAAACATTTTGATAGATTTTTTTCAACAAATTGTATTGTACGACTTAGGTTCGTACTATACGACTTTGATTTGTATTATACGATATGTTTTGTTCAATAAAAATCCTAGCCACTAGAGGTTAAGAAAGATACTTAATGTATATTGATCATATGGTACGATTTAGTTCGTACTATATGCCCTAATTAATATATTTCATATTGTAATAGAAATAATGTATATCTCTTAATGGATAAAGGCTTTTAAAATTATTTGGGTATAGCAATTTCTCTATCTTTTATCTCTCATATAATTTTCTTGTTAAGAAAATCGTCTTGAAATGTATATATATATATGAATAATAATAAAAATAATGACTAATGAGGTTAGAACATGCTTTTGCTTTTATGTATGCTTCACTCAAATGGCTTTTTGTTCTAATTTTTTTAAGATAGTTTGGGAAAATTATATTTTGCATGATGGGATGTGATTAAATGAGAACCGACTCCTCATATTGAGAACTATGACCCCTATTTATACTTTAAATATACATTATTTTATTTTCAACCATCATTAATACTAAAATAAAATATTCGGTCTCTATGCATAATAACTCCATACAAATTACAAAATAATACTAATAATATTCCTCAAAAGCAGATAAATATTTAATCCTTATTTGATCATAAATTAATAGGCTTAATATTAAGATAACATAAAATATATAATTAAGATAAATATGTGAGCCCACATATGAAAATTACCAAAATATTATTATCCTGATTTTCTCTTAGATAAGTAAAATTTATGTTTTCATATATTTAAATACAATATTTTGATACAATCGATGCTTATTTTTAATTTGTTACCTGAATGGTATCATATGTTAGCAAAATTTTGACAAAATCAATTTAAAAGTAAAGTTTTAATCACAGTCTCCTTGACATTTTATCTACAACTTCTCTTTGACTGAATTTATATATATATATATATATTGCTGGATTTCTCTTTTATTGACTTCCTAGCTTGGCCAAGACTAACTAGTCATGCTCTAATTTTAAGACTCTTTCTTCCATTTACTCAAATAGAGACTCTAAGATCCTATACCCTTTTTTTTAGCAAAATAAAAATAACATTAAAAGCAAAGGATACAACCCAAGACCATAGCATGGCCACTTCAATAGAATTACAGACAAGACAAATAAAGTGCAGCAAATAAAGATATCACTGAGAGTTGGATTGCCAAAATAAGAAAGATCGGACTCAGACCGACACCTAGTTGCCAGGTCAGGGCCATCCATGGAGGACCAACAAAACATCTATATCGAGAAATAGCCAAGAAAACACCAAAACAATCCACCCAGGTTGCCAACCGACCCTGGCCATCCCAACTCATGCAGTTTAACGGCTTCCTCATTGTCCATTCTGATTTGAACCAACCAACAAAACGAAAGCAACGAAAACCGGAACAAAAGCAAACAGCCCAAAGTAGAAACTGCCAAGAGAAGAAAGTTATTACTTCTTGGATTTTCGTTTACGAAGCCTGACAAAATTATCGCGCGAGCCCGTTTCCAGATTGCAATCAAAGCAATCCACCCCACTTGCAACTGACATGTCATCATGTAACCAATCACATTGCCACCGAACATATTTTTCAGTCAAATGAGCGACCAAATGAGCATAAGAAATGACAGAAATAGGCGCGTCCACAAGAGGCACTACTTCACCACTATCAATAAAATCCTTCCCAACACCACCCAAAGATTCTTCTCCACAATCAGGCAAAGAAACAAAATTTTGAATATCATTAGCAGAAATATGGCTATCACTAAGGTTAATACCACAATTAATATCAGTCACTGCCACAAGGACAGAAGCCACATTAGGAGAGACAACACCATCCACTTGACCATAAACCACCAGCTCCCCATTAACTACAAGAGAAAGACTAGAAGCAACTGTCGGAAGAGGGGCAGGCACATCTACACTACAGACATTAGCAACACGTTTAGGGGAATCCAGCACGGCAACCTTAGCCACCAAATCAACATGCGACCCTCCCATAGAAGGCAAGGGAACAAGTGGAACACCAGCATCAAACCGCACCGACAAGTCAACAGGGCCAGCACCCTCAAAACCATTACTCGCCAAAGATAAAGCCTGGCCCAGAAGATTAGGGGAAGCCAAACAAACATAGACATCACTAACATCATTCTCCACATTAGTCGTTTCAGTCCTAATAGGAAAAACAGGAGAGACAATAGGGCTAACACCCTCATTGCCATTATTCACCAAAGCTAAATCCTAACCCAAAGGATTAGGGATAACCAATTCAACATTAATATCACTAACATCATTCTCTACAATAGAAGTATTAGTCCTAACATGGATATTAAGCTTTGAAGAGGAAACTGGAACGAGAGAACAACACTCACCCCTCACATGACCAATGGCTTTACACAAATCACAAAAGGGAGGAAAACCCTCCATTTGCACATGCTGTACATAACCCAATTTATCTGAGCCGAGCCAAACTTTATCAAGATACTTCCTAGTGATATCCAATTAAACCAGAACTCGCGCCAAGGAGGGGCGCGAGCCAACAGAGGTGGCAGAGTCGAGTTTAAGCGGGCGGCCAAACAAAGAACCCAAAGCATGAACAAGTTGGGGAAGAAAATCCAAATGGGAATAACTGGTGATTCCACACTGTTATCAAGGGCAGGTGACCATTTTGTGAGCTTCATGTAGCAATTGAAAAACAGGTAGGAACGATGGAAGAAAACAATACTATAATCCATGTCATTCGATAGTTTAATCAAAACATGGGAGGAATCTGATAAAGTCACCAAAAATTCAACTAATAACTTAATATTAAAGAAAAAAATGACGGATTGAATCCAAACTAGGCCGACGGGATGGGAAGAAACCAACCAAAGCAAACTGGATGGGAGCGGCTAAAGAGACAATCTCCTCCTTAGAGATCCAAACAGCATGTAAACCATGAAATGAAGTCGAATTGAGAGGCGGAAAACAAACATTCGATGCATTACTATATAAAGCATCTAAAAATGAACACGACTTCTTGGAACCATCCAAAAAACTCGGGTCCAAGAACCGTTTCGTCGCCATTCCGGACACCCAGGTAGACGAAACGAAAACAGGAACAAATAAAAGACAAAATAAAGAAAAGAGTAAAGGAGAACTTCCCTGAAACCAGGAGAACACCAGCAGGAAGAAGATGAAGGTCATCCACCAGGAGAACCCTAGGCGAGGAGGGGCGGGAAGCCCAAGCTCCATAAACCCTAGCTCACAGCAGATAAAATTATCACAAACCGTAAGATCCTATAGATTCTTCACTATCTAGATATAACTCAATTAAACTTTTGTTTATTTCAGTTAATTGCTTATAAGTGACAAGATTTTGTTACTCCCCTTGCATAATTTTTATCCTTTTTATTTGAGTGATTCATTATTTGGTTGAGTCATAAATTTTAGAGTCTTGTTCATCCTTTGATCCATTAGGATAGAGCTTAGTCTATCATGCATTACAACAAAGGTGATTGATTGTGTATTATGATTGTTAGCTGGCAACTCTAAGTATTAATCGAGATTGTAAACACATCTTTAATCTTTCACATTCCTATTCAATATTTTTAAATTCCAAAAAGTCTAAATCTAAATTGAAATGGCAACTAGAGAATTTTCACAAGTAAATGGATGTTATATCTATATCTATTTATGGGTGACACCACATTTGTTACTATTGTTTGAAGTAGCCCTTTTCTAGCCCAAAATTGGGATGGTCAGCTACCAAATCATGGAACTATGGCATTATAGGTCGGGTCGGGGCCATTTTAAGGTCTATTTTTTATGGATAATTTTTATAAAGTTGAGTATGAAGTTGATATAAGGAAAGCAGTTTAACAATTCTAGATATAAATAATAATTTTCATTAAAAAAGAGTCTAAAAATTTAATAAGAAAGTAGTAGTTAAACATGATTGTAGTTATTATTTGAAAAAAAATGGTGAGAATGTTGAACAGACTCTCAATAGATGAATTCATCTACACAATGTAGTTAAATTATTAGATTTCACAATTATAATCATTACTAAAATTTATAAACTTAATAATTTAATTATATTAAAAGATAATATATAATATTTGAATATATATATATATATATATATATATATTTCTTAGTTTTAATCAAGGTTTTGAAAATTGGACCGGACAATGAACTAGAAGAATGAGATGTTCAAGTTCAAGGTTCAACCATTTTGACTAGTTGAACCGGGGTCGAATCAGATGACGTCTTCCCCAACTTAACCGTAACAATCGCCGTGGAGTCGAGTATGGCGTGCACCGGCAGCTGGACGGTCGGAGGAGGCACTGATGGAGGACTGGAGCCTAGAGGAGTCGTGTTTGGAATGAGTCCTATGGCATCCTGAAGGAGTCGCGTAGGGCAGATGAGCGACTAATAAGTAATGCCTGACCGCGATCTCTGTACGTCGTTCGATCACATATAAACGACTTAGATTAGTCATTTTAAGAACCGTTTGGTTCTTACAAACCTGCTCGGTTCGGTGGTTGCCCGGTTCAATCGGGTTTGACCAATTTTTCCCTGGTTTTACACCCAGCCGATTATTTCAGCTGACCGAATCGCTTGTCGGACCAGTTCACAATTGAATCGGCCACTCTCGTCCAGTTTTGAAAAGCTTGGTTTTAACCCTTGTAGTATTTTTTTTTAAGGAGAAAAAACTAATATGTACTGGACCAAAAACAAGAGTATTAATTGCCAAATGGATTATTTATTAAAATCGTTCATAAACATTTAATAAATTATCTCTTTTGATCACCAAAATTTTGACACATTACTAATTATTAAACTATAATTAAAGTTTAAATCAACAAACACCACTTGATATAAAATATTTCAAATAGCTCATTAAAATAAATCATATGTCAGTAAGCGAATGAAAATGATTACATATTATGAGATTAATTATCATTAGATATATTTGGCTTTTTTACAAGAAATAAATATTTTTTATAATAATTACACATTTATTAATCTGAAGAAAGTAGCACCGTTTAACAAATATTTTACAAAAAAAAAAAACTGTATAGTTTAATTTCAGAAGAAAATCCAGACGGCGGTCAAGCTGACGTGCCGACCATGCACCACACGTTGAAGATCTATAAATGTCTTGACAGGACATCAAAGCTTTCATCGCCATTCGCCGGCGAAATGTCGAACGCCGACGAAGTAACGGTAGTCATAGTTCCCTTCCCAGCCCACGGCCACCTCAACCAACTCCTTCACTTATCCCTCCTCCTCTCCACACGCTACGGCCTGACCGTCCACTTTGCCTCCACCGCCTCTCACAATCGCCAAGCCAAACTCCGCCTCCAAGGCTGGCCCCTATCCTCCCTCTCCTCCATCCATTTCCACGACCTCCCGCTTCCCCCCATCCCTTCCCCACCACCCAATCCCCACTCCCCCAACTCCTTCCCCACCCACCTCCAACCGCTCTTCGAAGCCACCGACCTCATCTGCTCCGCCCTCTCCTCTCTCTTTCTCTCCCTCTCTGCCTCCTCCCGCCGCCTCGTCGTAATCCACGACCACATCATCTCATTAGATGGCTTTGAAGCCACTGCGATCCCTAACGGTGAGTCCTACGCCTTCCGTGGTCCTTCCGCGGCTTTCCACTTCGAAGCAGCGCAACTGATGAAGCAAGGAGCCGGCTTGGAAGAGTTATCGTCGCCGGAGTTCATAAGGTTTATCGAGCGGAGGAGAAGAGATGTGGTCACGAGCTCCGGCTTTATCATGAACACATGTCGGGAGGTGGAGAGCGAGTTTCTCGATATTCTTACCCTGCAGGAGGATTTTCTCGGCAAGCCAATATTCGCCATCGGGCCGCTCAATCCTGTGCCGGTAATTATCTTGTGCCAATTGCCAAATGATCGACAATTGTTAAATATCAAATATTATTATTTTTCTAGATTCTTAACTATCGCCTTTAATTCATGCTTAGCATAACTTTATATAAATATGGTTATGCAGATGCATAACAACACAGATATCAATCGCGACGAGTGCTTGGAGTGGCTGGACGGGCACCCGCCTTGTTCCGTCGTATACGTATCCTTTGGCACCATGTCAACAATTTCCGACGAGCAAGCGGAGCAGCTGGCCTATGGGCTTCGTCGAAGCGGGCACCGCTTTCTTTGGGTCCTACGGGATGCCGACCGGGCTGACATCTTCGCCTTCGAGAGCAGTTACCGGCGGCTGCCGGCCGGTTTCGAGAAGGCGGTGGAGGGGGTGGGAAAGGTGGTGAGGGGATGGGTGCCGCAGCTGGACGTATTGGCCCATCGGGCCACGGGCGGGTTCATGAGCCATTGCGGGTGGAACTCGTGCATGGAGGCGGTGAGCTGCGGGGTGCCCGTGATGGCCTGGCCTATGCATTCGGACCAGCCAGCCAACGCGAGGCTGCTGGCGGAGGGGTTGAAGGTTGGGGTGGTGGTGAGAGGGTGGGATCGCCGGCGGGAGGTGGTTCCGGCTGAAAGGGTGGAGGAGGTGGTGAGGATTGTGCTGGAAGGGGAGGAAGGAAGGAGGATGAGGGAGAAAGCTAGGGAGATGGGTGAGACGGTGAGGGCGGCGCAAAAGGATGGAGGGTCATCGAAGAAGGCGTTGGATGTGTTAGTTGCTCATTGGAGAAGATAGAAACAACATAATCTTATTTCGGTTGACTAGGTTTTGTACTATCCTAATAAGATTTTCTGTTTTCTTTTTCTTTTTTTTGTCCCAAAAAAAAAAATAAAGATTTTCTGTTTTCTTTTTTTTTTAATAAACTATAATAAATTGAATAAATATTAGTTAGCTGTTTTTGCTTTTTTTATTTTGTGGTTCTTCTAATTTCTTGTTGTGTCAGAATATTCATAATGATAGATATACATTTTAATGTCTTAGTATTGTGAAAAGATTCAATATGCATCTAGATAAGAGATGTATTAATATAAGAGATGTCAGAGAAGAAAAACTAAAAAAATGGAGAAAAATTTATACATAACTCAATTATATTGAAATTAATCTACTACTATTTGTCACAGTTATAAATTATGCTCAATTCTGAAAGAAGATGATATAATATTGAAAGAATGTTATGTAGTGGAAGTTGGAAGTGAAAGAGATCAGAGATCGACAGAGAGAAAGACAGAGGACAGAGAAGACAGAATCATTGAAATGGAAAATATGAAGTATATTATTATCTGTAAAGTATGATTACAACCGTATATATATAAACGGAAGGGTAACATCGTAAATACTAATGAGTAGAAGATAGCTTAAGTTAAACCATCTGCTTACATTCTCCCTCAAATTGATCATTCTGCTGTCGAATGGTCAATTTGGAACGAAGATGATCAAAGCATGTGTTCGCAAAATTAGTTAATATATCAACTATTTGGTCTTGAGAGGAAAGATGTTGTATGTGGATGCTCCCGGTCGAAATGTGTTGACATATGAATTGATAGTCAATTTCTATATGTTTGGTGCGAGCATGGAAGACTAGATTCTTGGCAATGGCTATAGCGAAGATGTTGTCGCAGTGAATGATCGTGGGTGATGTTTGCTCGAGCTGTAGTTCGGTTGCTAGGCGCCGAAGCCAGAGAACCTTCGAAGTGGCTGCGAATAAGGCACGATACTCGGCTTCGGTGGAAGATTTAGCTACGGTGACTTGTTTCTTGACCGTCCACGATATGAGGTTCGGTCCCATGAACGTGTAGAAACTTGAGACTAATTTTCGGTCAGTGATGTCGGAAGCCCAGTCAGCATCTATATAGGTACGAAGAGTGGTGTTGCCTGGAATGATGGGAAGTCCGAATTGAATTGTACCGTTGACATATCTCATAATTATTTTGAGATTTCGGAAATCAAGGACAGTTGGATTCTACATATGTTGGCAAGCCTGATTGGTAGCAAACGCTATGTCCGGTCTTGTGATGGATAGGTATTGTAAAGATCCGGCTAATCGGCGATAAAAAGATGGATCGTGGAATATTTGGTCATTGTGCATTTGATGTTTGGAGGTCGGTGTAATGGGTGTTGGGGCTGGCTTGCTGTCAAGGAGACCTGCTTCTTGTAGAATCTTTGAGGCATAGTGGGCTTGGTTCAAAAAGAAACCTGTGTTGGTTCGGCTGACTTGGATACCTAAAAATAGAGAAATCTGCCCAAGTTGTTTCAATGCAAAGTGAGGCCGTAGATCTTGTAGGAGTTTGTGAATGTAGTTAGTGTCATTACTTGTCACAAGTATATCATCGACGTAAATTAGTAGGTATACATGAAATTGGTGATTAGTATGAATGAGAAGTGAGGGGTCGGAGCGACTGAACCGAAATCCGTGAGACTGAAGAAAGGTAGTAAATTTCTGAAACCACTGTCGAGGAGCCTGCTTAAGGCCATAAATGGATTTGTGCAATTTGCATACTGCTTTTGGTTGGTTGGGATCAGTCCAATTGCAGTTGATGGCTAAGGTTAGGAGCATGCAGATAATGGGCATCTTGGCGACCGGACTAAAGGTTTCATTGTAGTTTTCTCCAAATATTTGTTCGTAGCCGAGTGCAATGAGGCGAGCTTTGTATCGGTCTACTTGTCCGGTGGGGAGCAGTTTAGTCTTGTATGTCCACTTACATCCAAGAACTTATTTGTTTTGTGGTGCTTGGACTAGTGACCAGGTTCCTTGCTTATGCAATGCTTGGTATTCTATATCCATAGATGCTTGCCAGATTGCATATTTGGATGCCTGTTTGTAAGTGGTTAGAGTGAGGAGAACCCGTATTGCTGAGGTGAGACAGGAGCTGTCGAGGCTTGGTTATTATAAATTTTGATCCTGTCTGCATGGGGTGAGTAAATGGTGCCGGTACCGTGATAGGTGCAGAATTGGAGTTGGGTACAGAAGTCAGAGTAGTATTTGGTTCATTGTAAGTTGTTTGCTGAACAGAGGGATGCTCATTAGTATTGTTCACTGGTGATATGGATTAGTGAGGTAAAGCAGAGGTTGATACCAAAAGTAGAGGAGAATATGTATTAGTGTGGAGTTGAGTGGATGTTGAATTGGAGTGGTTGTTCTTCTGTAAAGGAAATATGTGTTCTTGGAACACCACATGTCTGGAGATGTGGAGTTTATGAGTGGACAAGTTGTAGCACTTGTACCCCTTGTGATTTGGAGAGTAGGTAATGAAGATACAAGGTTCTGGTTGAGGCGATAGTTTGCTGTGAGTATAAGGTTGAAGTAGCAGAGGCAGACAAAATTACTTAGTAGGGAGTAGTCCGGAATTTTGTTGTAGAGCATTTGGTAAGGTGACTTGAGTGCCAGAGTTTGGGTTGGAAGCCGATTGATGAGATAGGTCGCCGTAGAGACTGTGTCTGCCCAGAAGCCATCGGGTAGACTGGAGGCATGAAGTAACGTCCTGGTGAGTTCAAGAAGATGTCGATGTTTATGCTCGGCAAGCCCGTTTTGTTCGGGTGTGTTCGGGCAGCTCAGCTGATGCAAGATTCCATGATTGTTGAGGAAGACTTTGAACTCTGTCTCTGTGCTAGTAAATTCTCCTCCACCGTCGGAGCGGAAGAGTTTTGGGGTAGCTGAGAACTAGTTTTGTATAAGATTACATAAAGTTTTAAACCGATCTAGTGTTCATAAAATAAAGCCAAGTAAATCGCGTGAAATCATCAATAAAGGTAACATAGTAATGAAAACCGTTTAAAGAAGCTTGCGGTGCCGGCCCCCATACATCTGAATGGATGAGTTCGAACGGTTGGGAGGTGGCAGTGTGTATTTTATTAAACACATGCTTATGGCTTTTGGCCAAACTACAAGAATTACAAAGAAAGTCAGAAGAAATGTTTTGAAAATTGGAAATACAATGTTTAAGCATATTGAATATTTTGTTGTTCGGATGACCGAGACGAGCGTGCCAGATTGTGGGAGATGTCGTGGTAGCTTGAAGAGCCTTGGGTGATCTGTCCAGCGCTATGCTAAGTTGATAGACGCCATTAGTTAGGTGACCACGAAAAAGAAGTTGATGGCCTGTAAATCCTTAATTTCAAATCCATTAGAGTCAAATGTGATAAAAACCGAGTTATCTTTGGTTAGTTTTGAAACTGATAAGAGATTATGAGTAAGAGCAAGTACATGTAAGAGATGACAGAGTCGAAGCTTACGCGGTGTGTCGGGAAGAGGAAGCAAATCTTGGCCGTAATGTTGAAAAGGAATGTTTGATCCGTTTGCTATAGAGACAGAGTCCTGCCCTTGATAGACCAACGGTTTTTGAAGGGTAGAACAGTCGGATGTCATGTGTGTAGATGCACCTGAATCCAGAACCCAGGTTTGATTAGGCGACGAGTTCGGTTGTGCAAGAAATGCTCGGGGAGTGGTAGAGGTGGTTGGTGCATAATTGAGGTTACACCTATGCCAGCAATTGAGAGCTGTATGACCAAGTTTGCCGCATATTTGGCAGGTTGGTCTGGTGCTGGGAGCATTTGGAAGAGATGGAGACTGATCTGCGGGAGCAGTCGTACTGGCATTGTTCGTTCGGTATCTAGATGACTGTTTAGTATTCTTTGGGCGAGACTGATTGTTAGAGGTTGTGTAATAGGACGCCGTGGTAGTAGATTGATCTTTCTTGAGTTCTTGATTGACGTGGATCTCTTCGCTACAGAGCAGCGAGTAGAGTGCATCTAAATTTGCGGGCAAGGAGGAGGATCGTATGTATGTTTTGAAGGAGTTGTATCTTGCTGGTATGTCATTTAAGATGTAAAGTACAATGTCTTCCGGATCGATCTTAGTTCCTGACGCCGCAACATTGTCCGCGATATTCTTGACTTGAGCCAAGTATTGTTGCATTGTAAGATTCTGCATCTGGATGTGATGTAGCTTGTTCTTGAGTTGAATAACTCGTGAACGGCTCGAAGTTTGTAATCGTCGTTCAAGAATTGTCCATACCTCTTGTGCGGTAGTAGAGGTTATGACATATGGCAAGATTGCCAGCGAGATCATTGAGAATAAGGCTGAGATGAGATTGCTATCAATTAGACGCCAGCGGGCATGTTCGGGAGAGTTGGTATCGGTCGGCGGGGAAGTTTTGCCGATGAGATGATCGGCATATCCATTTGCCGAGAGATGTTGAAAGATTTGAGTTCGCCAAAGTCATAATTGTCAGTGGTGAGGGAATATGATATCAAATTCTTGATGTTCGAGATAATGAACTTTAGAGTCGTCGGAATGACAAGTTCTGCGGTCGATCCTGAGAGCGTGGTGGAGGCGAGAGGAGGGTTGAGGTTGATTCTTGATCCCCCATCCTGGCTTCTGATACCATGAAAGAGATCAGAGATCGGTAGAGAGAAAGACAGAGGACAAAGAAGACAGAACCATTGAAATGGAAAATATGAAGTATATTATTATCTGTAAGGAATGATTACAACCGTATATAAAGAAACGAAAGGGTAACATCGTAAATACTAATGAGTAGAAGATAGCTTAAGTTAAACCATCTGCTTACATGAGGAGCCCTATAGCATGGAAGTTGGCTGTTAAAGATTGTTTGCTTCTTTGTGTGGTCAAACTCATTTGAGGAGATGAGATCAGTGCCTAAAAAGTTCAGTATGAATCTCACTACTAACACAAGTTAAACCTGGTGTGATGGTATGAATCAACTTTATATGAGCAA